TGATTCGATTCTTTAAGTTGCTTCACGTTACTTTTAAGTAGCACAAGTTTCGATGTTAATTGTGAGTTTTGAATCTCCAACTCTTCAATGTTTTTTCTGTCATCAGCATTGTCGTCTAGAATAGACGAACGTTTTCTCTTGTCACAGTTAAGTTCATCCAATCTTTGTTTATAGAAATCTTCAATTTGTTTCACAGACCATTGAAGAATATCTTCATGTCGTTCCTCTACATCGTTTATATGACTCCTGGATCACAATTGATGGTGTAATTTTTAAAATACAATGATTATACTAATGAATTATACAACTTAACAAGACAAATTATTCTCGATGAATTGTTAAAACTAGTAACATACTTCCATTCAGTTTCAAGGTTTTTCATCATAGCCGTATAAGTATCCGCCATTTCTTGACGAATCTCTAGATCGCGACTTAATGCAGAACTTTTCAATAATTTTATTTCGTCTTTTAGATTTTTATTTTCACAAAGTAACTCATCGTAATCTTCAACGTGAACATAATCAGGTATAGCATGATTATCGCCAGCGTTAAGCACCTCTGCAAAGATACATAAAAATATAATTAACATAAATCAGTTTAGGACACATATAAGCAATTTTAACAGATGTTATACCTTCACTTTCTAACTCCGTAGTATCCCAATCTGTTACAGTTTTTATACTTTCTCTAACTATTTGTGAAAATCTCGACTTTTTCTTATGTACTTTTTGTTTCTGTTCTAAAACTATTTTCTTTGCAATAGCAGCAAAATTCAAAACATTTTGTGTTTCAGTATACAAATTTGGTAAAGGATTTATATTCACTATCAAAACCATACGTTCTCTACCAGAAAGGGCTTTCTGAAACAGTCTTGTTAGTTTTGACTCCCTAAATGGACCAACATGTTCTGGTTTTTGTTTAGACAGTTGCCCGTCATGAATCGTTTTTAAACATTTTCCTAATACTAATAGACTTGTATTAATATTTTGTGCTTCTTTTAATCTGTCCCCAATATTCAATGTTTTTTTCAAACGTTCCGAACCAGCCAAATCGCAGAAGGTAAATCTGTAATATTTATAAGAACAATTACATATAATCGAATTGGCTAAACACTATATTTAATAAGAAATACTATTGCTTACGTGCTAACTTCAACAGCA